CTGTAACCCCCAAAACATCTGCACAGGGAAAAGGAGAGGGTGACAGGAAGCTCCGGGAAGGAGCGAGGGGAACACACATTTCCCAGGGCAGTTTCCTGCGAGCCCCGCGCACCTGCCTGGCCAGCGCCACAAATCACAGGGTCACCAAGGCGCAAAAGGGCAGGTGCCCGGCCCACCTCCAGCCCGGACTGCCCCACTGCAGCCCCCTTCCCCATGTCTCCACCCTCACCCCTCACCCCTGCCTCCTGCCCCGGCCCCTCGGGCTTCTGGATAATCGCTGCGGCAGGCGGCATCCTCACCAAAACAGGAGGCACCGACCTAAATGAGGCGGTTCCCGGTTTACGGTAACGAAGACGAACGTGTTCTAGGCTGGGGTTTCAGAAGGAGTCCCTCACTCTGCAGGCAGGGTGCTCCTGGGGGCCCTCTCCCCTCTTCCACATGCCACAGAAGCCCCCCTCCCATAGATTCCTCTGGAGGTGGGGGGGCGGCCTCCCGAGAGCTGCTGGAAACTCAGGTCAGTGCACCCAGGCTCCTCCTGGCCATTCGAACCGGGTTTTGAATCTGTCTCACTCTGTTTCATCTGAAGGAGGGGAAGGAGAGGTGGTCTGCACAACCTCAATGGGGGGGAGAGCCCCTTGTTGGCTCCGCCCAGGGCCGCCCACTGAGGGAGCAGCCGGTGGAGCTAATCCAACTCGGCGTGCAGCCCTGTAGGACTAATTCGAGTTCAGACCCAGGAGGGGCGGTGCGGGCACATTTATCTTCTCCGAGTGAAGCTGCTGCATCCCTCTGATCTCCCCTACAAAGCCTGCCCGGCTGAGCAAGTGCCCAGGGAATTCTGCTCCTAGAAATGGAGCACAGGCCTCAGGAGGCAACGAGGCCACCCCAGCTGAGCCCTGGAGGCCAGCCAAGAGGAGGAGGCCACCAGCCTGCAGGGACGCCTGAGGGCGGCGGGTGCACGCCCCCAGGTGGGAGGGAGACAGGAAGGAAAGGCACCAGTGCTCTGGGCTCAGCCCTCTTGCTGCCGTGACCTTGGCAAAGTCACTTCACCTCTCTGGCCCTCGGAGGAGATCAGCCGGAGGCAGGGCGGTGCCATCGGTAAAGCTGGAGATGGAGACGGAGGAGACAGATGGAGGAGAGAGCAGAGGAAAGGGGGACACAGCGCTACCTCCCGGGGAGGGGGGGGTCGCCAAGGAAAGGCAGGGCTCGCAGCAAAAGCAGCAAAAGCAGCAGCACGTGTGACCCAGGAGGGGTGGGGGCGGGTCCCTGCAGGAGGAGGAGGGGCCCCTCCTAGGCACAGCAGGCCTCAGGACGCTGTCTGCCCGTGACATTCTACACTCCCTTTGCTTCAGGCCTGGCGGGGGAGAAGGGACGCTGGGGCTCGACTGAGTGACCCCGTTCTGGCCTCTTGGCCGGTTTGGCTGATTCCCATCATATAAGACAAATGACCAGAACCGCCAGGAACACAGCCTTTCCCTCCAGGGGCTGCAGGCCACGTAGGGGGAGGCACCTGGGAAAGGCGAGGCCGCCCCTCCCGCCTCTGAAAAACTACACTTGTTTGTACAAAAAAGTTGTAAAAGAAAAACGCAGCAACATTTTGAGAGAGTTTTTAAGGGACCCAAATCCCGCTGCGTGGAGCTAACACCTAGCAACGTTTGGGCCACCCCGCCCCAGTCCTGCGCATCCACACAGTGGGTTCTCCATCTGTCACTCAAAGTGCGGGGCCCATCTTTCCCCCTTGCTGGGGGGTGGAGCCAGCAGGAAGTCCCCTCCACCCTGTCCCTGCAGTCCCTGCCTCTGCCTCAGGGAGTCCCAGCCCTGACCCTTAGGGACTCAGGGGTCTCTGCTCACCCTGGCCCCCAGCTGTGTTCTCCTTAATTACACGGAAGCCTGGCCATTTTGGCTGGCAGTGCACTGGTGGGGGCGGGGGGGCAATCTCCCTCTCTGCTCTGGCCCAGAGGAGGCCCAGTCCTACACCCACGCGACCAGAAGCCAGGGAAGTGAGGGGTCACATCTGCTGCGCCTCTGTGACGGGCTGTGTGATCCATGCACGGTGGCAAGACTCAGGGACAGAGGACAGGCAGTGTCTTCCCGCCCACCCCCCCACAGCGCGGGCCTGGGAGGGTCCAGGCTCCTCCTGCACGCTGGTGGCTGGTGAAGCTCAGTGCCAGCAACGTGGCTCAGGAAGGAAGACCACTGAGGACAGCAAACACCAAAATACCACGTTGACTTGCCGGTGAACCCAGGGCAGCTCGACCTTCGGGGGGGAGGGGACAAGGGGGTAAGGAGGCTACAGGGTAAGCACTGCCAGTACTGCCAGCCTCACAGGCCAGAGAGCAGACCTTGGCTCCAAGGCCACGGTGCTGGCACTGTTGCGGGCCAAAGCAGCCAGAGGCAGTGTGTCAATGAATGGGCGTGGCTGCGTGCCAATAAAACTTTATTCATAAACAGGAGTTCTGAGTCTCATTAAAGTGTGTTGCATATTCTCCTTGTGATGTCTTTTTTGTGCAACTCTTTAAAACTTTAAAAACCCTTCTCAGGTGGCAGAACACACAAAAACAGCCCACCAAATGTTCCCTGTGGGCCCTGCTTTGCTGACCCCTGCTCTAGAAGGAGAAAGCACGTGGATACCTGAAATTCAGCGGCCAGCCAAGTGCAAGAGCTGGGCTTCTCAGGTGCCAGCACGGAGGCAGCAGGAGATAGGAGGAAGAAGCTGAGAACCAAGTGAGAAGTCTCTAGAATCTGGGAAGTGGGAACGCTCCTCCCTGGGGCCTGAGGAAGGTGTTGGCAGGAACGGGGCCAGGCAGAGACGGGGGTGGGCAGCACAGTCAGGCGGGGGAGGCCCTTGCTTAGATGATCCTTGGGTCCTCCTCCCCCAACCCCACTCTCCATTGCCTAAAGCGTGGCCAAGGACGAGCAAGTCCCGGAGACCATTCTGGCCTGAACACTCTCCCTGCACCTCCAGGTCCCGCCTCAGACACATGTCAGCGGTCACCTGTACGCCCGGCCGCCTCTCCTGCCTGGACTGGACTCCTGATGGGGCCGCAAAGCTTGCAAGAGGCCAAAGCTGCCACCCCACTCCCCTTTCAGGAAGCCCGAGAGCGGACGTCTAGGACCACAGAGCCTGACACCTCCTGGTGGGACCCCTGGCCTTCCTGGCCCGGGGCCAGGTGGCTGGGGTGGCCCCGCAAGGGAGCCCGGCTTGGGGGACCCAGCCACCCGCCAGAAACCTGGCCCGTGCAGAGCACTGCGCGCCACTGGCTCAGTAATTTCACGCTACACCGCCTGGCGATGTAAGCGCGGAGGCCCGTCTACGGCAGCACCTCCCAAATGTCACTTGCTTGTGAATGCGTGGCTGAACCCGAAATTGCTTTTAATATCTGGGCGGCCTCTGCCGGCCTCACCGCAGCCCCAGCTCTGACAGCGCCGCCGGGACAAGCCTGCCATCTGGCCCAGATCTTACAACTCAATTGCGACTCACACTGCAGCCGGACCCCGGGAATTCTCCAGTGCAAATCCATACGCCCACACGGGAGTTTGATCGCTCCTTTACATCAGGAGAAAGAGTCCCGGTGCTCACACAGCGAGGACCACGGTCTCTGCCAGAGACCCCCTCCCTCATCGGTAAAAATCTCGACTTCAACCCCAAAGGGCCTTTCCAGACTCCTTCCTACAAAGCCGCGTCCGGTTCTAAACTGCACTCACACCGTGGAGCCAGAGACAGGGGTAGTTAGAAGAGCAAAGGTTAGCCAAGTCGTCCAGACCCGAGCTGCCGCCAGAAGAACTACGTGATCTTTGTTTTTCTGGTCTCCACATTCAAACGGTAAAAGGAAACAGGTGATATTTTGTTTAACCCAATCTATCTAAAAACATCATCTACATAACCAGCATGAACCAAGTATTTGTGCCCTATTTCATGTTCTTGGTTCCTCAGAGCCTCGGACGGCGTGCATGTCACCCTCACAGGTCACAGCCACGACGCCAACACACAGCAGTGGCCGCGCACTGGTCACCACTGGGTCACCACTTCTGGATCTGGTGGGAGACGCACCGTCTGCCCTGGTCCAGGGCCCCGACTTGGAACTTGCCGCCACACGATTCCTTGCGGGAACCCCCAGGCTCCAACTTGGGAGCTGGTGGGATGTACCCCATTTTCATGCTGCACGAGCCCCGCTGGAGGGGGCTCTCCTGTGCCGGGCACCCCTGCGCTAGGGAGCCGCCATGAGTGACCGGCCCGTCTACAGCAGACAGAGGCGGAGGGGCCGAGACCCTGGGCCAGAGCCGAGTCCAGCCCGAGGGGAGAAGTGCAGAGTCTCCTGCAGAGGGCGGAACAGGGGCCTCGGGCCTCGGCGTCGATGGCAGGCCTGGGAGGAAGGCCCTTGGGTGGAGCAGCCGTGAGCCCACCTACAGCCCCTCTGGGCTGCCTGCCCTGCCACTAACTAGGGGGTCTGCAGTTCACAAGCCCCGTGTGTGTCCCGTCCCCGGGGCCCCTAGATGGAGCAGAGGGAGCTCATGGGGGAGGGAGGCAGACCCGAGCCCACCCTGTGCCCAGCAGCCCCAGGGAATCTGCCACTCTTCGAGCAGTCAATCGAAACCACACAGATGGGTCTGTGTGAAGCCAAGGGCATTTGAGAACGAGAACTCAGTTCAGATGTCAAATCTGTCAGCCAGTGATCAGCTCTCTTAGAGCAGAGCAGGAAATCCCTGCGAGGAGACTCCCAGGCTTCAGTGACCTCCACGGAGAGGCCGGGCCACCAGGAAGCCCTCAGGCCCCAACAGTAGAGTCTGCCAGGAGGGAGAGCCCTGGGCCCCAGGTCCTGGCTCCAGGCTGCCACGCACCCACCCACCTGCCCCAGGCCTCCTCCCTGATTGTTCCAGAAACACATCCAGATGGAGAGGCCGGGACACACTATATAAATGGAGGCTGCCCCGGCCCTGGTCCGTGGGAGCGGGCTAAGCGGGGCCGACCGCGCGGACCCTGTCGCGGCCTTGCGGATGCTCACCTGGCTGGCCACCTTGCCGTAGTCAATCCACCGCAGGGTGGCGAAGTTGGTGGACTCCGCACAGTTGAACCCGTGATTGAACCCAGCATGGTAGCCATAGGGGAACGTGATCATGAACTCGCCGGCTTCCTGTGTAATCTGATGAGGGAAAGGGACAGGTGAGCGTGGAGCCCAGAGCTGAGGGGCGAGGCCAAGTGAGGGATGGCATTTACTGCTCGGCTCACCTCCCAGAAGCCACGCTGGCCCAGGCTGGGCTGGTGGCAAAGGCCACCAGGAGCCACCGCCAAGTACCTCAGGGGCACGGAGCCAGGACTTCCCAACGAGTGCCAGGGAGCCCCGACTTCAGGAGTGAGTGGGGTTCTGCCCGCTGGAAGCAGCCTAACTGCCCGGGCTCCAGCCGATTCCCCACATGGTTTACACGGCAGGCATGGCCGTGACCAGGAGAGCTCTGCTGTAGCCCGCCGCTCACCAGGGCCCAGGCGGAGCCCCAAGGTGACAGACACTCTGTTTTTTGTGGGGTGGGCGCTTGGGTGGCTCAGTTGGTTGAGTGTCCGACTCTTGGTTTCAGCTCAGGTCATGTTCTCAAGGTTCATGGAATTGAGCCCTGGATCAGGCTCTGTGCTGAAAGCATGGAGCCTGCTTGGGATCCTCGCTCTCCACCCCGCCCCCACTCACTCTCTCCCTCAAAGTAAAGAGTCTTTACAACTCTCTAGACAACACAGGCTGCTATGCCTCTGGGTGCTCTCAGCTGCAGGGATGGAAGGGCCTCCCGGTCTGGAGGCAGGTGGCCGTGTCCCATCTGCCATCCACTGTGAGACGTTCCGATGCAGCACGGGGGCCGGTGAGGACGTGCAGAGCACTGAACAAGTACAGGGTCTTTCTTGCCCTTGGGAGGAAAGACCTCCAGCCGCTCGCAGAAAAACATTCCTGGAAAATGACCCGAGTCCTCCGGCCCTCGTAAGAACAGGGTCCATCCCTCATATCCTGGGAAGTGGATCCTTCCAAGTGAGGTCAAAGAGGCCGGAGAAACACATTATAACACGTTATAAGTGTGTTATAAGGCCACAATGTCATGGTCGGAACTCTGTCAAATGAGCTGATGTTTCTAGACTATTCAAATGGTCTGATCCGACCTCTGAAACAGATCCCCAAACCAAGGAGCTGGGGGTACCTGATGAGGGAGAGGGCCCACGTGAGCCCAGACAGGATTCTGGAGCCTCCGAGCCCAGGCCTGGAGGAAAAGGTGGGGGCTGCAGCCGCACCCCTGCCTCACTCCACATTGCGGGGGGGCACTGAGCCCATCGGCACATGCCCCAAAGGACGAGTGATGCACAGGAAGGAGGACAAGTCCCAGAGCGCGACGGGCAGGGCTGCTGGCCCACTGCACGGATGTGGACGCTGAGGCTGGCAGCGAGGGAGGGGCCGTCTGGAGCTCTGAGTAACTGGCGCCCCAAACAGGAATGGACCCGCCGGGAGGCCCCTGCCACCCACAATCCCCAACCTGGGACATGGGCCACCGTCACTGAGGGCTACACTTCTTTCTAGGGTTTCATTCAGCGGCTTCGCTCAGGCTGTGCTCCTGTGTCCGACTCTGTCCTCACTGTGTCTTCGAGGTCCCTTATCCCTTCTCGCTCCTCAAGGGCACCCCTCCGTGTGGATGCACCGCTGTTTGCCCATCGGTTCTGCTGATGGCGGACGCTGGGCTGTTCCTGCTCTGGCGAGTCCGGCCACAGGGGGCGCTGTGCTCCCGGCTTCCATGGGCGCGAGCTTGCGCTTCCGCAGAGTCTCCAGGCAGCGGCAGGAGGTAAAGGTTCCCAGGCCCGGGGCCCTTCTGCAGCAGCAGCGGTGTGAGTGTGGGTTTTCCACCGTCCCTGCAGGTGGGCTACGGTACCTCCCAGTGGTTTCCGCCTCCTCTCCAAGGTCTACAGGTGCGTCCGGGTCCTTCTGCCCCTACTTACCCAGCTGTTCACTTCTCTACTGTAGCTTCGGAGAAGTTCTCGAGCTTGCTGATCTTTATTTATTCCTCCAGAGAGAGAAGTAGAAATTGCTGGGTTCATTTAAGTAGCCCATAAGAAGTCAAACCCTGAGGGGGTGGGGGTGGAGCAGGAGATGGGGGGCAGAAGACTTCCAGAAGCCGACCACAGAGTCAAAAATCAATCAAAACCGACACAGCCTGGAGAAAAGCCAGTCCTTAAGACACGAAGATATTTTTCTTTTCAAGTAATGAATTGCACCAATCAAGGGAAGTCAGTATGCATTAAGTTATATTTTTAAATTCCTGTCCAAGTGACAGGCATGTGGGGGATGAAACGCACGCATGGCGGGAGGTGGGAGCGGAGAGAGAACACCCAGGGTCCCCAAGGCCCCAGCAACCCCCCTCCCAACATCCACAGCCAGGATTTTCTGGGCTGCTTCCTGCCACAGGACCTCGTGAAATGGGTTGCAGATAAAATTTAGAGATTTTTTTTTTAAATACTGATTACTGATTTTATCGTTTTTTTTGAGCTGACCTTGGACAGAGCCATCTCACTCTTCCTCCAAGCCTACACCTGCTCCCCTCCATCCCTCCCTCCACCAGGCCTGCAGGTGTGGGGGTAGGGGGCTCTCTGCAGGGTCCCCATGTGGGGAGGTGCCCCAGGCAGACTTCAGAACCCTGCTCTCCCCACCGACCCCTCCGGAGCCCACGGCCCAGGGCAGATGCGCACCCAGGGAGGATGGCAAATAGATTGTGTTCCCGTCACCGAGCTCCACATCTCAGTGGCTTGTCTCCAGCTCACAGTGTCTGTCCTCCGTCACAGCCATCAACCTCATCCGACAGTAAAGGAGAAAGCAACAGCACGGCAGGAAGCAGGGAAGGGAACGGCAGCCACAAGCGCCAGTCACGGAGAAAGCGCAAGTTCAGCTGTTTCCTCGAGCTCTCGTGGAATAAACGAGGAAGTCCATGGCAGATTACAGAAATACATGCTTTTAATTATTAAAAAGCTCTGCCATTGATCTGCTTTTTCTTCTAGAAGTAAATACCATTACGAAGATTTATAAGTGGCGTGTGGGAGTCATTCCCCCCAGGGCTGCCAGGAATTCAGATGAGGACCCTGATAAGCATTCATCTGGAGCCCGACGCCGCTCCCTGCAGGCCTGTGGACAGCAGGCGGGGCTGGACCAGGGGGGAGGGGAGCCAGCCTCTGAGGGTCGGCAGACGCCCTGGGCCAGTAGGCCAGTGCCCACACGGACAGTGACGCAAGGGACAAGAGGGTGCCCACCAGCCGACCCCTCCAACTGGCATCTCTCCAGGAGCACCGGGAGAATGTTTCCCACAAAGCATGGAAAACACGTACTTCTCACTCTGCGAGCAGCGCCGTGTCTGTCCGCAAGGCTCCTGGTGGCCAGCGGTGTGCAAACGGGGAGGGGAGAAGGGGGAGGCATGGCAAGACTGTGTCTCTCACAGCAGAGCACCCGCTGTCTGATGGGCGAGCCCGATGGGAAGAGCGAACCCCTGATCTGAGCACTGAGGCCGCGGGCGGTTTGACTGAAATGTCAGAAGCAATTTCGGAGTCGCTGACACCCGGGGCCAGAATGCGGCGTGAGGATCTGATGGCACAACTTGCTCAGGTGCCTGACAGTCGCTCTTGGAGGGAGACCTTGAGGACCCAGGTTCCCAGGAGGCTCCTCCTCCCCAGGCCGGCACTGGGTACCCAGCCCAGAGTCTGCTCAGGCCTCCCAGGAAGGTTCCAGGCATGTCCCTCTCGGGGAGGTGGGGCTAGGCAGTCCCAGGCACAGGGCTCACAACTGCTGCGCCCCACCTTAGGGCAGACTCCCCCCACTCCTCCCCTGCAGAGTCCCCGCCACCCAGATTTCCCAGCACCAGGCCTCATTCACACAGCCTGCGAGGCAGCCTCTGAAGCAGTAAATTGAATGAGTTCACAGTCTTCGTGCTGCTGAGGAGCCAGACAGTTCATCTCTAAACAGGTACTTCTCTCAAAGGGCTTGTCAGGCCCAGACATAGGGGCAAAGCTGGGGGCGTTGGGGGCGCCTAGAGGCCTGCCCGGTTCTCCAGGGGCTTCCTGGGAAGTGGGCAGGAGCCGCCCCTCCCCTGCTGTGCTGACCCTGAAGGGCCCTGCTGGCAGCCACCGGCCACACTGGCCATAGGACTGGGGCTGGGAGGTAAGGGCAAGACCCCACTTGACTCCCTTCTCTTCCCATCCTCACCCAGAACCACAGCAGAGCTGGAAGCTGACTGCCCAGCCCCCTGCCAACCCCCAGCTTGCCAGTGTTCTAGAACCTTCTCAAGGAGTGAGAAGTCAGTTTCCCCAGCAGCACCTACGTACCCGGCTGAACGGGATCCCGTACTTCTTGAGTATGATGGGCGAGATGAGGGTCATCTTGTGCCGCAGGAAGGCGTCGCAGCCCTGGGAGCTCCCGGGGAAGAACCCTGCAGCAGAGAAGAGGGGCGTCGGCCTGACGGGCGGCGCTGGGGAGGCCTCTCTCTGGGCGGTGCGTACCTGTCAGGCACGGAGTACACTGGCCCGGGCTCCGAGGGAACGAAACGCACAGGACCCTGTCGCGAAGCTGCTGGTGGACATGACAGCAGCCCCTCGGACCCCCAGTCAGGGAGCCCGGAGCCGGGGACGGGCCAGCTGTGTGATAGCGCGTGCCCTCCGAGTCACAGGTGGAGTGTGGGCAAGGGCGCTGCTGTGCAGACCTCCCCTCCCAGTGGCCCCTCTCAAATAAAACCCACCGCATCGCAGTGGCACAGTCGCTCAGCCAGCACGATGGTGCAGCCCGGGGACAACATAGCAGGGGTGCTCACCGCCTGAAGTCACATGAGCAGCGCCCCCCACACACAATGGGATCTACGACAAAGGGGAAGAAGGGCCCCAGTGCGGGCACGGGCTCTTCCTGGGCTCTTTGCACACACGGTCCTCGCAGCAGGCAAGGGGACGCAGGCTCCAGCTGTCGATGGACCCCCGGAAGCCCTCAGTCTGGCGGGAAAAGGGCTGAGAAACCTGACCGGGCCTGTGGCCATGTCTCCACCCTGAGCGTCCATGACCGCGAGGTGGTCTGAGCTCCTGTCGGGGGACACTATCTCAGGGAACACCAATCAGCGTTTAAAACGATGCTCGCAGGGGCGCCTGGCAGCTCTGCCGTTAACCATCTGACCCTTGGTTTCAGCTTAGGCCATGATCTCAGGGTTTATGAGTTCAAGCCCTGTGTCAGGCTCTGCGCTGACAGCGTAAAGCCTGCTGGGGATTCTCTCTCTCCCTCTCTCTGTCTGTCCCTCCACCCGCTCTCAAAATAAAAAAACAAAAAAAACCCATAAAGTGATGTTTGTCAATGTGCAGAAGTCAGACCGTCAGTTCTGCCTGCTTAGGAGTTGTGTTTAACTGACACACTTCGGGGACGTTTCCAAATCACTTGTTGGCTGAAGCTCAAATCAAGGACGTGTAGGCCCAGCAGTTAAAGAAAAGCTGGCCCCGGGATTGCCCGCAGAGGCGCAGGCTTCTCACCCAAACCATGATCGAGAGATGGCGCCGACTCAGTGACAAGCAGGACGGGTCACAGCAGCCGCGGGGGCTCCTGAGGTCCTGCTCCCTCCAGGACTGACCCTCAGGCACACCCGGCCCACTCAAGGACCCTTCCGGGAGCGGGAGCGACCCAGACCTTGGGCCCCCAGCCTCCAGGGAGCGCAAGTCCCCATGCAAGTCCCCACGGGCCGCCAGCTCGGGAGGGGGCACTCACGTGCACGCTCAACGTGTGCAGTAAGCCCGCGCTCGGGCCCCACCCCCCCACCTGCTGGAGCAGAGGAGGACTTCAAGTGACAGTGTCACAGTGTCGGGGGTGGGGGGCGGGGCGCCCACCAGCAAGGACAGGCTGCCAGGTTCTGGAAAGTGCGAGGGCTTACTGAATCCAGCAACTTTCCTCTGTGCTAAAAGCGTTTCAATTAGAGTTATGGCCCCTGCCGCCCGGCCCGCGGCCTCTCTGCAGTTCCTCTTTTTAATGCACAGTTTAAGTGGCTCTCATTAAAGCTCTAATAAAGGCGCACATTTTAAGTGATTAGCACCAATAACGCGCCAACACATTAATGCTCTCTCCGTGGGCTCCACGACTCTCCCATCGAGCCCATTTGGAGCTCGGCTATTCATTTTCCATATTCATCGCAAACTCATTCCATCCATCTCAGTAACGGGAGTCTGTGACGCATGCCCCCAGAAAAGTTGGAAAGAGACACCGAGGAGGGCAGTGACTCACGTGCCCTAAAACCTCTCCCGTCCTCCCCCCAAGGAGGGGGGCGCAGGCCTCAGTGAGGGGCGCAGCGGGAGGTGCAGAGCCATGCCCCCAGGGCAGACAGTAGAAACTTCCTGAGTCCACACTGGGCACAAAGCAACACCGGGGCGGGGGGAAGGGGGGCTCCCACTGGCCCCCCAGCTTCCGGCCCGACCCGGCCCCCTGAAGGCCCCGAGAATGGGAGCCAGGCCAGGTCCCCGGGCACCAGGGCCCCAGCCCTGGGAAGGGCGTGGGGAGCCGGCCCCACAGGGTCCCGTTTCCAGCTTTTCTGGGTGGCGCTCAGATTGCCCAGAACTTTTCTAGCAGAAAAGGCACAGAGAGGAAGGAGGCGCTGGGCACGGCTAACCGCAAACCCCAGGGAAACCAGGCCGGGCGATGCCAGCGCTGTGGGCACCGGAAGCTGCCCATGTGGGCCACTCCATGGCTGTGTAGGCGTGGGAGGCCCATCCGTGGCCCCCTGAGATGTCCACGTCCTGCTCCCCAGTACCGGCGACTGCTGCCTTCAGTGTGGCAGGAGCTCCGCAGAAGGTACTAAGTGCAGGAGCCCAGGATAGGGGGGTGACCCCATGTCACCACAGGGTCTCCACAGGCGGGGGGGGGCGCAGAGGGGAGACCATGTGACCACGGAGAGGGGCACAGGCTGCTGCGCCTGAGGCGGGAACAGGTGGGGACGCCTGCCGGAGCCCGGGCAGCCCACGCCTGAGCCCCGGGTCAGACCCCTGAGCCCGAGCATGATGGAGCGAGTCTGTGGGCGGATCAGGGCTCTTTCAGAGCAACTCCAGGCTCACATCAAAGCCGAGAGACTGGTGCTGCTTGGAGCCACTGGTTCCACAGTGATTTGTCACAAAAGTGACAGGAAAGAAAATGGCAAGGAAGGTCTTTTCTGACTTGTATTTTACAATTAGTGTTTGTGTTTTAAATTTATGTTCGAGACGGTACGCAAGGAAAGCATTTCAAATGGGTGTCACTTGAGATGTTAAGAAGAAAGAGAACTGGCTCTTTGCTGGGACGGTGACTGGCGTTTCTGGGGTGAGGGGCATGCTCCTGACAGCGGGTCTGACCACACCCCCCGCCGCGGGGCCGCCTCACCCCCAGGAGAGCCTCCCTCTGCCCTTGCCCTTGGGGGGAACAGGCATTTCCTGAACAGACGTGCGAGTCCGCGTGCAGCCAGGACGGGAGGCCCAGTTTTCAGAGAGAGCCGCCATTTCCAGCTCCAAAGTCAAAGGGGGCAGGGGAGGCGGGTGGTGGGCCCTCTGGGAAGGAGGGGAGAAGAGGGGACAAAGGGTGCAGCAGGGAGTCAGGGGAGCTGCGCCAATGCTGCGTGATGGCTTCTGGAAGATTCCCCCCGCTGCCTGCCACAGCCACCGGGAGGGACGGCCCTGTACTGTCCCAGGGACTCCTGTACAACAGGGCCATCGCCCCACCCGCCCCGACTACCGGGTGCCGCCTGCCACCAAGGGCCCCACGCTTTGGGCCAACAGGGTCTGTTAACGTCCTCGTTGGCATTTAGGGGCACCTGACGTCCGAGCAGAGAGCGGGGCGCCGTGACAGGGAGCAGTGCGGAAGCCCTGGTCACACTGGCCAGGGGCCTCAGCGCCACCCTTGTCTCCAAGGATCCTATGTCCTGAGGGGCCCGCCTTTACCCCGAGGGGTCAGTACCCCCTCTCTGGACACAGCTGGGGACCCTCTATGACAAATCTCGTCTGCTCAGGAGGCCCCTCAGGCCCAGGCCAGGCATATGCAGGCAGTGAGGCTCGTGGTCACTGCGGGGGAGGGGCTCCTGCCTGGATGTCTCATTTTCTAACCTAAACACAGACTCGAAGGCCTGGAGAGCACGACATGGTACTGGGCAGGGAGGGAGCCTGCAGTCACGGCCGCCTGCAGCTCCGTGCTAACAAACTGGGAAAAAGAGTGTTTCAGGCAATGGCATCTGTGCGTCACTTGCCAAGTGACAAACCCCAGAGGGGGCCTGTGATCACAGAGGGAAAGGGAATGGAAAATCAGTCGGTGACGTCTTACAGCACGGCCCCCCCCACAGGTGGAGACTCATGCAAGGTAGGGGGGGAGGCCCAGGATGCTAAGGCTGTGCCCCCTCCCCCCGCCCCGGCCCAGGTCCCAGCGCAGACACCTACCGATGGCCAGCCGCTCCAGGCGCTTGCCGTGCTCCGGCGGGATGGCGTACCTGCGAGAGAAGGGAGGCACGTTAGAGGCGAGGTCCTGCGGCCACCACACATTTCAGGGGACCCGGGGCTACAGCCAGGGCCTCAGGGAGATGGAGCAAAACTGGGCGCGGTGAGAAGGGTGAGGGGCCCATTTGGAAGCAAGGAGGGGTGGGGAGGGAGGGCAGGGCCTCCACTGGCTGAGACGGCGGCGCCCCACACCAGCACTGGAAACGTTCCCAGCTCAGAGCCACTAAAGCCTCAGTGAGGCTCAGAAAGCAAACCAGAGAGAGCAAGTGGGGGAGGGGCCCCAGGGGAGAGGAGGAAGGCCCCCAGCCTCCCTGTGGCCTCCGTGCCTCCCGCTCCTCCAGCCCCGGGACCAGGAGCCAACAGGGGAAGAAGCTTCAGGAATGAGGAACACTCCACTTGTCACCACTTCGTGAGTTTGAGTTTTACACGCTCTACATGTGAAAGATTGCTGAGGCTCTGTCATAAATAAGAAAGATGTAAGGTGAAAGTGTGCAAACAGATGACGTGAGAGCGACATCACTAATGCCGGGTGCGGAAGCGGGTGTGGGGGAGGGGGGCACTGGGGACTCCTTCCTGGCATGGAGTGTGCCAGGATGGGGCAGAGGGGCGGTGCCGAGGAGCCCGCCCCAGTTGACCCAGCACCCTGGCCGCCCTGAGGGGGACTCGCGGCAGGATGTAAAGCTTCGCATCCAAGCCAAAGGCAGGCGGAGCCGGGGCATGGGTCCTCGATGCCCAGAGCGCTGGGTGCGGCCGGCCGGCCGTCTGTCCTGCGGAGGAGGGCCTGGAGCAGTAGCTCCTGCAGCATGAGTCCTGTCCCGGAGAAACCCCAGGGCAGTGGTGCTCGCCCGGGCACGTCCCGGGGCCACGTCCGGGGACATCTGTGGTTGTCACTGTGGAGCGTCTCCTGGCATGGGGTGTGGGGGCGCCCAGGGGCCGCCCCGTGTCCGCAGTGCCGAGGGGAGAGACGCTGTGCGGGCACACTTCACGTTCTAGAACGAGGCGGACGCGGGGGCGCATGGCGTGGCTCGCCAGCCGCCCTTCCTCACAGCAGGCGATGCAGGACGGGAACAGGGGACACGGAAGCCGGCCTGGACTCCGTGGCTGGTTAAGTCCACTCCGATCAGAGGTTTATTATTGCTTTTTAACAAAATAAAAGGGGCAGGAGTAGGAGATAATGGCTATCCCTAATCTAACAGGATAAAAATAATTAATTTCTGGGCACAGCACAGGGCCCTGGCAGAGACGGCACCGCACCTGCATTTCTGTTGCTGCCGGAGAATTTTCTGCTGTCTGGACAAAGAGGAGGTGACTCTTCTTCAAACAGCCTTTTATCACTTACATAAAGATGATAAAAGTTAATCCCAATCCAAAGCACCTTTGTGGGATGAACGTCCCCCCAAACAAGGAAAAGAAGCATTCCAGCCCTTCTGGGAACCGGCCGGACGACAGGAGAACTAATTTATGACTCCAAGCCTGTGATGATTAATGCAATATCCCCAGTCTACAATGCTGCTTTCACTTAATTACCGCCTGTAATTGGGAGTTGTAAAGATAAGATTAATTGAATCTGGTGGATGTTAAAAGTTTAATACGTTGGAACGTGGTGCTCTGTTATCGGAAGGCACAGGCTGCACAACGCTGCGGAGCACGGAGGAGCACAGCCCCTGGAGGGATTAGGAAGGACTGGAGGACGGGAAGCCGACAGCCGCAGGGACTTCTGGACTCCAGTGGCCAAGAGAGGGCTGCTCGCCCATGGCTGGGAACAACACACGACAGCCTCAGGTGCTGACAGCCCCAGTGCCAGCCCTGCGCCCAACCCCAGACCTTCCCCTGGGGGCTTGATAAGATGCAAACTTCAGATTTTGGGGTGAGATGAGCAGAACTGGGGTGCAGGTGCTTTACAACACACGGCTCTGAGCAAGTGCTGTGTGCCCGTCTATTAAAATACGCTGGGGCTGGGGCGCCCGGGTGGCTTAGTCGGTTAAGCGTCCGGCTTTCACTCAGGTCATGATCTCGCAGTTCGTGGGTTCGAGCCCCGCATCGGGCTCTGTGCTGACTGCCAGCTCAGAGCCTGGAGCCTCTTTCAGAGTCTATGACTCCCTCTCTCTCTGACCCTCCCCTGCTCATGCTGTCTCTCTCTCTCTCTCTCTCTCTCTCTCCTAGAAACAAAAACAAAAACAAAAAAACATTAAAAAAATAAATAAATAAAATAAAATAAAATAAAATAAAATAAAATACGCTGGGGCTTTCTGACGGCCGGGAGAAACCCCAGCACTGTGGGCTGTTCCCTCAGACCCAGCCTCCCAACAGGGACAGTCATGTGCTCCCAGGGCAAAGTCCCCTGGACCCCACAGGGCCCCCAGAGCAGAGCTGTGTTACCCTCATCCTGGCTGCAGTCGGCGGCACACTGCCTGGTGGGAGTGGGGGCGGCCCTGCCCCTCAGCCTGGCTCAGGGAGGATGGGGGTGGGGGGGCAGCTATCTGGGCTGCGCATGCTCACCTGCTAACCCCCGAGGCAGGAGCAGCTGTCTGCCCATTAGTGAGTGAGTTCTCGGGGCCATAAAACAGAGTTGGTTTTATTGGTCACCAACATGGGGGCAATTTGTCTCACTCCCCACGACCTCCGTCCCCATCCCAAGGTCAAACACCACGGCTGAAAGCAATCTGCTCTGCCTGCCTGCAAGCCCGGGGGCCGGTCTTTGGACATGGCAGCCCCGGTCACCCAGGGGCAAATCGTTCCCGCACGGTTTCCTCAGACAGACGGCCTCCCCGGGTCCAGTCCATTCAGGGTGGCCAGCAGCGCAGGGGGCCCAGAGGGCACAAGGCCCAGCTCACAAGTCGTGGTGGAAGAATCTGGAGAAGGTGGGATCAAAGAAGGGGACAGAGAAATCTCCAGAACCTAGTGAGTCGGGAGGGGGTGAGCTGACTGGGGGCCTTAGAGAGCAGAACCAGACATGGGGGGTTGGGGGGCCGGGGAAGCCCCTGGGGAAGGCAGAAAGAGGCAGCCCGCAAGGGGCTGCTCAGGTGCCCTTGGGTGCAGCCCCCGCCCCGGCCTGTGACAGTCTGGCAACTGCCCTGGGCTCATGGTGAGTCCTGCACCTGGCCAGGCAGGATTCTGGAACTTTCTCCAGTGTCCTGCTGGGTATCTTCATCTGTTTCCCCAGCCCTCCCCCCTCTACCTGTTCTCTCTGCTTCTGAACCTTCTCCACAGAGCGCTCCAGAACAACACTAAACCAGAGAGCCGCAGAGCAGGAGGCGCTGTCGGAGCCGCGTCCCTGACAACCACGCCAGGTGACCCTGCAGGGGCCGTGGCAGCACTCGACAGGCTCCGTGACGCCGGGTTTAATGCTGCAGAACTGTCGAGGAGGCCGAGAGACACCAGTCCGGGCATCGTTCGCCCGCCACCCTTTACAGAGAGCCGGAGGTCTGCAAACGTCAGGGGCTCCGGCAAGAAAAGGAACCACTTCTGGAGTAGGAATGAGGCATCCAGGGGGCAAAGGGAGAGACAAGGGCCCCGGGACCCCGGGGGCAGAGGGAAGACATGTGACGCGCAGTGGCTGAAAGACCATTACCGTCCAGCCGCTTCACGGTTCAAACGACCGACCAAACGGAAGGAGCACGCTTCACGCACGCAGTGAGCGGCCAGCCCGACATCCCGACGGCGTGTTCCAGAAGGAAGCGAAGCCCGGGTCGAAGGGGGACAGGAGGGGCCGCTCTGGGAAGGCGGGTGCCCCCAGTCTCCCCCGTGTCTCCCGGTCCTTCATTTACACTCTGAGGCACTTGAGGAGAGAGCACCCCCGCCAATCACGGCCGCCCCACGAGGCAAGCCTGAAACCCACCTGCCCACCAGCCGCGTCCGGGGCAATGAGCAGTCACGTCCAGGGCCCATAGCCTGGCGCTCGGGGGCATCAGGAGCACCGGCCGCACAGCCCGCGGGCCGGGGCGGGCACCGCACGTCAGCACTCTTGCTTTCCCGGTGAGGCCAGAGGGCAGCCCCGCCGAGGCCAGGCGACACGGGCCAGGTCGCAGGTGCCGGGATGGGCAGAGGCTCTCAGGGGCCAGCCCGCGTGGGGTCATTAAAAGGAAATGCGAGCTCCGCGGGCAGGCCGGCCCCGGGACAGGCCGCTTCCATTTTACTGACTCACCGGCCCGGGAAAGTCTTCCTGTCGGCCGCGGAGGATGCTATTAATAGTGTCATTTTCTTGGTGTTTTGTTTATTCCCCTGGAATGGGTTGATGGATGTGAATAATTATCAGACTATAAAAGCCAGCAAATGTGCTATTTTCTATCGCTCTAAATCATCAAACAAATAAAGTGTGAAACAGCATTTTTGAATATAATTTTCCCCTCTAATGGCTTAGAATTATTATCAAGAACAATGAAAATAAATAAGCAAATGCCTTGTGAGTTAAAAATTAAATGAGCGTGTCACAGAGAGGAGCACAGACCGTCTTGAAGAGCAGGTACCTGCTCAGGAACCGTCAGTTACGACAGGGACGAGCCGCAGGGCTTTGGGCCGCAGGGGCCCCTGCGGCCAGAGGAGCGAGCGCCAGGGCCGCCTGCCTGTGTGGGCAGCACAGTGCCTTGGACCAGGGCGCTGGGGTGCATGTGCCGCAGCACCTGGCGCCCCCCAGACCCCGACAGCCCCAGGATCCAGTGTCACTGCCCGAGGACAGTCACAGAAAGGTGGCAGCGTGTGTGGGGGGGGCTGGCCACCACCTGGCCTCTCCAGGGCCCCCACCGGGTGACGCCAGAGAGGCCTGCTGCCTCTTCCATCAGCAGGAAAACCTAGGGGCGAATTCTCAGGATGAGGAATGTGAGACTCCGGTGGAAGTGACCCCACCACCACACGGAGCCGGGGGGCTGCACCGGCCCCTAGCCACGCCTCATGTCCTCGAAGGCACTGGCTGCCCTGGGCTGTGGGATCCGTTACAGGTGGGGGGGGGGCGGGGGGGAGGGCAGGAGGACCCTTGGCAGGAGGGCAGTGTTTCCAT